CCCCGAAGTCTCCAGGTATTTCCCATCCCAGAACCGGCAACCCTACGAGGTGTGGCTTGCAGGTCATCTAAACTAGATGATAGGTGTGACCTGTGCTGGGCTCCTGACTTGATGCACAGTCACATGTGAATCCAGGAAACAAACATTCCCAAGTGCTTTGGGGCCCAAATCAGTTTAGGAGTTTTGGCAAGGGGGGGGGGGAGAACGGGCTTCAGACTTTCCTCATTGTTTCACCAAGCCAAAGTGGCTGCAGAGGTTCCCTACATGTTACAGGCTCTGGAGTCCTCCTGATTCATGTGCGACTTCAAATCAGATAAGGTGCCCCCAGTCTAATGTGTGCTTCATGTATTGTTTAGCTTGGCCTTCGTCCTGCAGTCATGGCTGGGCAGGACCACCTGGTGGCAGGACTGGGAAGCCCCAGAGAGCAGGCTACTTCACCTGTTCTGACTCAACCTGCCCCTAGGGGAGGTAGTGGGCAAGGCTGGGAGGAATGCACAGCTGTGGCTTTGCCTGACCCCTTGTTTTCACCCACAGCCTGATGTGGAGGTTGTGCAGCGCGAACACACAGGACACATGATTACATGGACTGGCCCAGGATTTGCCCGTGTACGGGATGGAGCTGGCTTAACCTTCCACATCGACAACATTCCTTACCCCATGGAGTATGACATTCTGTTACGCTATGAGCCGGAGGTGCGTGGAAGGGGATGGAGAGGAGGTGCTGTGTGTGTGTTGTGGGAGGAGGGGAGGGCATGATCGTATCCCTGGTGCTCGTGGTCAGACTTTCGGCAGCCATGTGCAGTGGCAACAACTGTTGCTAGACATGCAAGAATATTTCTACTTTTTAAACCAATAATAATCCTTAGCATTTATATAGCACTTTAATCCGAGTGCTCCAAGACTATCTTATAAAATTATCTCAGTAATCCTTATAACTCTGCTAGGTGGGCTAGTATTATTATCAGCCATATACTGATATTGGGGAGCTGAGAGAGATCGGAAGCAGGGACTCCCAAACACACGGCTCAGAGGACAGCAGCCTTTTATGACTAAAGAGCCAATCTACATCACAATTCCGAGAAAAAGATCAACAAAGAGCCAGCATAAGAGAGCCTGTTTGCATAACTGAAAGTCTGCAGCCAAACAATACTGGTGATTTGACATGCTGATTAATAATCTATAAAGCTTCTGCAGCCCAGACACTGGTTGTTGTGAGTCCTTTATTAGGAAGTGGCACGCACAGAGTCTCACAGTGAGTAATAACGATATGCAGGAGCACCCTGTGCAACTGATCTAGTACACCGGCATAAATCTGTGCATGGTTTGCTGCTACAATACTGGCAATTGGTCAGCTGTATAATTTCCCTTTTGGCAAAGCAGCTCTGAGATGCCCTTTAGTCCCACGAAAATCTTTTTTTCTACCATTCCCTTCACCTACCGGTTATTCTGGTGGTGGAAAGTGCCATTAAGTCGCAGCTGATTTATGGTGCGCCCCCCCCCCCCAGGTTTTCGAGACAAGAGACAGAGGGGTTCTGCCACTGCCTTCCTTTGCATAGCAAGTACTAACCAGGGCCAACCCTGTTTAGAGTCTGAGATTTGACAAGATTGGGCTAGCCCGGGGCGTCCAGGGCAGGGCTCCTACCCTCCCCCCTCCAATAGGCCTGGACATAAAAGATCACACTTTCTTTTTAAAAGAGCCATATTTGGTTCTGTACTGAGCACCACATTTGGCTCTATGGCCAAAGTTTGCAGATCCCAGGGCTATTTTTGGGCAGGAACACACAGGAACGGAGTTCCGGCTGGCTCCCAAGTTGGCCATGCCCAGCAGGAAATCATTAGCATAATAGGACACACCCAACAGCAGAAACTCATTAGGAGTGTCTACACTCGGGGTGTGTGGCCTAACATGCAAAGGAGTTCCTGTTACAAAAAAAGTCCTGGGTTTTGACAACAAACAAGGTAAACAGAATAACAAGCAAAAGGTGGGTGTGGCTGGATAACCACACTTCTGGTAACATGGGGGTGCGGCCTAATGTGCTAATGAGCTGTGCTGTCAGAGGTGTGGCCCAATATGCTAATGAGTTCCTGCTGTTGGGTGTGGCCTATTATGCTAATGAGTTCCTGCTGGAGTTTTTCTACAAAAAGAGCCCTGCGAGATCTCACTTGTGCTTTGAACCATTGCACCACTCCAGCTCTTTCTATCATTTGAGATGCCTACTGGTGTAACTACGGAAGGGGTAGCAGAAGGTATTGGGGAGAAGCCTGTTTTTGATGCCTTCCTTCGTGGAGATTGCCCAATTTTTCTCTGGGCCTGCTTCCTTAGACCTGCTTTGTCTCCTTTTCAGTCTACAGAGGACTGGGAAGCTGTCGTCAGTGTCAGCTCACAAGCTTTGCCCATGAGCCCACGCTGTGGCAACGTGCTGCCTTCGGAGCAGAAATACCGGGAGAGCTTGCCTCACAGTTCCAGGTGACACTGAGGGGAAGAGGGACAGCCTCATGAACTTAACTGATTGGGTGGGAAAGGGTGCAGGTGAGGCCAAGGGAGACCCACACCATACAAGTGCAAAGTTTTCATGGAAATCAAGACCGTGTTATTTCCTCAACAAACCAGGAGGTTGGACTGTAAGTATGATGTGTGACTGAATGAGGGTGGCCTAGGGTTCCCAAATCCCCCTGGGGGGCGGATTTCCCCCCGCTTTCAAGGCCCGATTCCCGCTCCCGTGGAATCGGGGCCCGGGGGAAACCCCACCCCCGCGTGCGCGCCACCCGGAAGTGACGTCGCACGCTGGGGGCGGGGCCACGCCATTTGAGGGGAAAACAAAGAGTTTTCCCCTCAAATGGCGTGACCTCGCCCCCAGCGTGCAACATCACTTCTGGGTGACGCGCGCACACACACGATTTAGACGCTGGCCGGGAGCCCCCCGCTCCCGGCCAAAATCCATTTGGCAACCCTAGGGTGGCCAACTTCGATGTTCAGAGTAGCTGGTGATTCAGCAGGGCTGAAGCACATTTTGCTGCATAACTTCATCTCTTTTGAGATGATGCCATAGTAAATGGAAGCTCTGTCGCATCCAAATAACTTCTGAAAAATTCTTATGCGTGAAATTTTATGTAAGTGTTCCAGTCGTAACAATTAAGTGCTGTTAAATCACAACTGCCTTATGGCGACCCCTCATGGCATGAGATGAGCACAGGTTGTTTGCCACTGCCTGCCTCTGGTGGTCTCCCATCCAAGTACTAACCAGGGGAGACCCTGCTTATCTTCCAAGGACAGTTCAGGAATAATGACCCTGGAGGTCCCTTCCATGATTCTATGGTTCTATCATTATTTAAAAGTTCTGTTTCACACCAGGGTCCAACTAAAACAGCTTGGGAGGAGCAGCCTCTGTGGGGTATAATCCATTTAATTCATTGATATCCTGCTTTTCTCCCCAATCGGAACCCAAAGTGGCTTACATCATTTTCCCCTCCTCCATTTTATTCTCACAACAACCCTGTGAGGTGGGTTAGGTTGAGACAGTGTGATTGGCCCACGATCACCCACCAAGATTCGAACCTGGGTCTTCCAGATTACTACTCTGACACTCTTAACTACTATACTACATTGGCCACATGGAGTCATGCCTTCCAAAGGCATGGGATGTCATAGAGTACCCTGGGGATCAGTTGTAATTATGGGAGAACTTCAGCCAGCAGCACCAGGAGGCTGACAACCCTAGTAAGCAGGCTTATAGGAAGTTTTATCAGCAGGAGTCCCCCCCCACACACACAGGTTTATGAAATGGATAGAGATTGTATTTTGCCACAGAGATGTCAAGTATGACATACTAATTTCAAATCATTATTCAAAATAAGTGAAAGCTCTGAAAATACAAGCATGGAAATTTAGTTACTGTGTTCCATCTCTCTTGCCATTATGTTTTGGCACAGCTGACATTTTCAAGTGATGAAACAAATTATTTTTCTGTCATCTGCGTATTTGCTATTGGATTGACTGAGCATTTACTATAATTAAGTAAAGAGCTTGTGGGTGTTTTGTGGTTAGTAAGTTCTTCGTATTTTGGTTTGGCTGAGGGCCTTCTGTGCATGCCGGTGGTACTGCAAATCTCAAAGGGAATGGCATTATCTGTTTTCCTCCTCTTCCGTAATTTCTTTCCAAACTCCTTATCACACTGGAGTTACTGAAGTTTTCTTCTTGGAGTCTTATTGTTGTCTGTTTTTATTCTTTTTTTAGGTCACTACCAGCCAATTTCTTTCACATAAATATACCATTTAATACTTTCATGGGTCCTCAAGGGTCCTCCACCCGAATGCCTTTTTCTTATTTATTTTTGTAATTTTGTTATTTCCTCTACTTCCTTCTGTTCTTTGGTTCCCGGATATTTTCCCCCTAGTTCTGCCAGTTATATAATATTTACATTTAGTGTCTCTCTTTTGGAATATGCAAGGTCTATCGTGCATAGATAAGGAAAATGACAAGAACATCCTGCAGGGGGCAGCAGAGGGGACAACTAGTTAGCATAGTAAGATTAAGGACTTCCTGCTATTTTCAAATAGTCTCCTTCCAGCCTCCTGATTGGCTCAATTGGGGTTTTCCCTGCTCCTGCTGAGAGATCTCTGCTACTGATTCTCTTCTAGCTAGCTAGACTTCCCTTTCTCTCTCCTCTTTCTTACAAAGTTTTTTCTCTTCTTAATAAACCAACTTTAGTTTTTAAGAAGCTTGTGCTCTGCTTTACTGCATATCTGCACTCTGCCAACACTCCCAAAATTTTGGGGAAATATATTCTGGGAATGGTAGGCTTGTGAGATAAGGATCATGGAAGGTTCTTGTCCTGCAAAAAACTATCTTGGATATTTATTATACTATACCTATAGTGGTGTGATAATAAGAGGGCATTTGCTATTCCTGTAAATTTTAATTCTCACCTGATAAATCTGAGGCTCATTCTGAGCATGGAAAATCCCATGGAATCTTTTAGCCAATGATTGTTTTCCACTGGTGTGAGAGCACTTCTGCCATCAGAGAAGAAGAGCTGGGTTTTATACCTGGCTTTTCTCTACCCTAAGGAGTCTCAAAGTGGCTTACAGTCTCCTTCCCTTCCTCTCTCCACAACAGGCACCTTGTGAGGTAGGTGGGGCTGAGAGAGTCCTGAGAGAACTGTGATTGGCCCAAGGTCACCCTGCAGGCTTCCTGTGGAGGAATGAGGAATCAATCCCGGTTCTCCAGATTAGACCCTGACACTCTTAACCCCTACATCATGCTGGCTCTTAGGAAGGGAAGCAGTTTCCACCAACTACCTCCTTCCCACTATGGACCTCCACGCCGCAACCAGCATTGCTCATAGGGGGGTACCCTTGAACCTTGGGGCAGAGTTTCAGGAAGAATGCAAGGGAGCACAGGCATGGGAATAGAGATGCCAACCTCGAGTTGGTGGCTGGAGATCTCCTAGGATTACGACTGACCTCCAGGTGACAGAGGACATTTCCCCTGGAGAAAATGGCCACTTTGGGAGGTGGACTCTATGCCATTGAAGTCCCTCCCCTCCCCAAATCTCCTCCTCGGGCTGCAACCCCCAAAATCTACAGGTATTTCCCAACCCAGAGCTGGCAACCCTACACTGGAAGGTTCTGTTCTATGAGCTTTATGCCACCTGAAGTTCCTGGATGCAGCCCTGAAAGATTGGTTTGTTGATTGGCACAAATATTCTTCATTAGATGTAATTGTCGTTAATCTAAGCAGTTTTCCATGTCAGCTGGCAAGTAGGTGTGCTTTACTCACAAGTGGCAAGTTACTCATTATTTGAAATTTCAAGACGCAGGGTTGATGGGGGGCAGGGTTCTTTTCTTCCCACTGAGCAAAAATTCTGCTTTGTGTGAGCTCCTGGCCTTAAAGTTGAGAGCGAGCGATTTGGCTGCTTCAGAAATTAGTTTGCTCTGGCGCCATCCTTCCTGAGCTAAGACAAGAATCTGTGAGCCGGAGGCTAAAAAACTGTGAGCTAGCGTGCACTAACTCAGCTTAGCAGGAACACTGCTTTTAAGGAAGGGCAACATGAACCCCCTTCCCCTCTTTCTCAGCAGCAAAGGACTGCTACCCTTATGTGTGGATTGGCTATCCCACTATTGGCTTTGAACCACAAGGCAGTTCCACTTTTGTGCTCTAGGCAGGCTTTGTGTTGACAGTCTTGAAAAGCCCAGGGCGCCCTAGGAAGAAGTCACCGCTGCCTTTTCCTTCTCTCTTTGTTCTGACAAGGGGTGAAGGGTCATTCAGACCAGGGAACGCTAATTGAGCTTTACAAAGCAGTAGGGAATTAAAGCCAAGCTGTCTGGCCTATTGTATGGGCAGCTGATGTGCTCTCAGGAGAGGGGTGTGTATGTGGGGGAGGTTGTTGGACTTGTTTTGCCAGTTTGAATGCAGCTGAAGAAGGACAATGCAAGCCCTCTCGGGAGTCCTACCACTTAGGAGAGTCAATCTGTCAGCGTTTTTTGCTTAGTCTGTCATGCAGTTTATTTATCTGCTTAGGGGTATTTCTACCAGGTCTACCAGCTCCCAAGGCTGCTTATCATGTGGGTGTCCATGCGTCAAGTCTAATTGCGTATAGTGGGGGCTTGACTTGTAAACAATAGATCCCCAACCCACACCTTAGAAAAGGACTGCTGGAAGTCACAACAGGGAGTACCGGGCAACATGTTGAACATATATGGACAAATGCTGCTGCCTCATACCAAGTCAGGCTATTGGTCTGTCTGGCTTAGTAGCTCTTGCTGGGAAAAGCTCTCCAGAGCATCAGCAGAGAAAAGTCTTTCCCAGCATCTGCTGAGATCCTTTAAGGGATGGGATACATGAAGCTGTCTGTCAAGGTCACTGTTTTCTACTCTGTCTGGCAGGGTCTCTCCAAGGTCTCAGGCAGCAGCCTTTCACAGTACCTACTACCTGTTCTTTTAACTGGAGATGCTACCTGGAGATCTCCTGCTATTACAATTGATCTACAGACGACCCATGTTAGTTCATCTGGAGGAAATGGAGGAGGCTGCTTTGGAAGGTGGACTTTATGGCATTACACCTTGCTGAGGTCCCTCCCCTCTCCAAACCCCACCCTGCCCAGGCTCCACCCCCTCCAAATCTCCCAGTATTTCCCAGCCCAGAGCTGGCAAGTCTAGAGATTGAACCTGTTATTTTTCCCCCCTGCAGACCATGTGCTGTGCCACTGAGAATGGCCTCTGCTTGTGTTGCATCAACCATACAGGCCTCTGGTGGGCCTGTATCTTAGGTGTGGTTTTCATTCTTTGCTAGTCTGTCGTATCTGTAGTGCTGTGCAATGTGGGATTTGGGCCGTAGCCTGCACCCCATGAGCTTGTGCCTCTTGCACCTGTGCTTACTGCTGCGTGCCTGCCTTCCCTGTCAAGTGAGGTCCTCGATTGGTTGTCTCCTCACAGGTATGTTCTCCTGCCACGGCCTTTCTGCTTTGAGCCCAGGAACTATTACGAGATCACAGTGCGCTTCCAGAGAGCAGGTGTGACACAGCGGCACCTTGCAGCCTTCATCCTCGTTGACTCGGTGAGGAAGTGCCGCAAACTGTAGGGGTTTTTTGTGACCCAGCTCTCTTTCCTCAGCCAAGTATTTAGTAACCCTCAGGGTGACCAGCCAACTGTGGAATCTCATTCTTTTGTCACTGGACTTGCAAGCCCCATTCCCTCAGGTTCCAGAAGCTCAGAAAAACCCTGCAGCTCTCCCAGGTCTCTGACTGGTGCCTGTTTTCTTTACTCTTGGGAGTGTACCGTCTTCTCTTGGTACAGTCCATGTGAAAGAGTCTCTCTCACTAGACAGATTTTAACATCTGGCATTCTGTATCTGCATTACCATTTAAAGCAGGGGTGTCCAACTCATTTGTTACAAGGGCAGGATTTGGCACACTGTGCCGGTATACTGTGTTATACCAGAGATATAGACTTTATAAAGGGCACAGGCAAAACCAATTGATATTACTTTTTACTCAAGATACAAATAAAAGCAATTCATTCCTAGCAGTGAAAGCCATTGATTTACTGGGGAGCCCACAAAAGTCCCAATAAATGTATTTAATGTTATGCAAGATGAGTTTCTTCCCCAAGGGATACCATAAAAGTCGGGAGTATGTTATGCTTCCATACAAATTAGCTACTTTTTGTATATATAGCACATTTAGGAGAGGAGTCATCGCCCTTGCAAGTAAATAAGGTAGTTTTTCAGCACCCCCCATACACCCATCCTCAGTAGCCGAGCACGGCTACAATCCGTCTCTTGCTCTTTGTTTCCTCTCTTCCCCCATCCTGCCTTTCAGGATCGCGAGGAGGCACACTGGACTCCCCCCTCCACCACCTCATCACCAACAACCCTGTGAGGTGGGCCAGGCTGAGTGACTGGCCCTGGGTAACCCAGATGACAGTGTCCTGGCTCAGGAGGGGGGGTGTCTTCCAGATGCCCCCCCCCATTCTCATCCCTCTTGCGTTTCCCACAGAAGCAGTGGGGCTAAAAGAAGGCCTGATGGAGAGATTGCTTCTGAAACTCCAGGGGCGCTTTTTGTCCTCCCATGACCCCTTTTCCCTCACGGGCTGAGAACAGATGGGGGGAGGTCACCATCCCCCATCTGCCCCAACACTCACTCTGCCTCCCGGCTCTGTGACTGTTCAGATGTGTGGTGGTGACATCAGTGCCCCTTTTCCCCCTTTGCTCCTCCACTTGCTTCCAAGGCCAGGAGGTCTTTTCCCCTCAGAACAGCATGCACAAGACAGCCCAGTTGCCTCCTAATCCACGTGCCAGCCCTCCTCCTACTCCTCTTCCTCTCTTTCCCGCTGGCCCTGTCCCTTCACCAGCTAACTGCTGCTCCATGCGCCCACTCTCTCCAACCCCCCTCATGGTTGCCATTTGAAAAAAATGTGAAGCTGTTTGGTGTGGTGGTGGCAGCGTCAGCCACTCGGATCCAACCCCCCATGTAGTGGCTTCTCCAATCCTTGCTGAGCTGCAGTTGGAGGAAGCAGGAGGGGGGGAAGTTTCTCTGACTTTGCTACCATTCCCCCCATTTTAACTTAGCCTCTTAGCTCCACCCCCTAGCCATTTCCTCTCTATTTCTTGACAGCATCAACCACACACATACCTCACCAAGTTTGCCTGCTTGCCCTCCAAACAGCCTCCCGCCTTCCCTTCCTCCCTTACACCAGTTGCTCGCAAGCCAGATAAGATCCCTGGATGGGCCGGTTCCAGCTCCCCGAGCCTTATGTTTGACACCCCTGATTTTTTAAAAAAATAACATTTTTTTAATTTTGTAAAACATCAGTGAACATACAAACATTTAACACTTAAATACCATAGTACCCCCTACTTTGCTTATACAAGCTATCTAGGGAGAGAATGGTTTGTAGCAGGGTTCTCTAACCCTTTTAAGCCTGTGGGCAGCTTTGGAATTTTGAGCAGGATGGTGAGTGCCACCCTGAAGTGGCTGCCACAGGAGGCGGAGCCAAACCCCAAAATGGCTGACCGAGGAGGAAGAACCAAAGGGAATACCTCCCTCCTCCTCACCTCTCCTAGGAAGAAGGAAAGCCTGAAGGGGATATGGAACCACACAAACTCTAAGGAAAGGTGCTTACCAGTTCTTTGGATTCTCCAGGGGAAAACTCTTTAATATGAAAGAGGGCAGTAATAAGCCCCGCCTTACAATAGTCCCATCCACTTTCTGAAAAGCTGTGCAGACCTCAAGGGAAGTTCTGGTGGGAGCCAAAGAACCCATGGGCACCATGTTGGAGAACCCTGGTCTGTACTCTCTACAGCAAATTTTTTGGCCCTCTTCACACGTTTCCAGTGAATGTGTCTGGTGTGTAGCTTATGATCCACAGGCTGCACTGTATGTGTGTGTGTGGGGGGGAGGTTTATCTTGACTTGTAATCCTTGCTCTAGCTTGGCTCAACTGTTTCTGACGTGTAGTCCCACATTTCACAGCTGGTTCTTTTGCCTCGTGTGACTGAGCTGCCTGGTCTCCATGGAAATGATCCAGCGGCAGTGGAGCGTCGGGAGGAGCTAGAGCGCTACACGTGCCTAGAGGCATTCCGTATGGCCACCATGCCTGACCTGGCTGAGATGTGTGCTCGTCTGCTCTGCAGCATCTCTGCCCTGATGCATGATGGGGCACTGCGTAAGTGAAGGGCCCAACTTGGTGTGGGAGTGGAAATGTATGAAAAGAGCTTTGCTTCTGTCGTAGCCATTTTGTCTGGAATTGCCATGTAGTTAACGATGGAGAATCCAGACGATGTTGCTGCCAAACCATTTCAGTCCACCGTTTTCCATGTTGACCTCCCATCAGTCCTTCAGGAATTGTTTGTGCTGATATTCTTGGCTTTGGACAGAATTATCAGGCTGGCCCATCCGGTGTGGAATGAAAAGTGCCATTAATGTACCTAGGAGAAAAAGTCATTGGATTGGTGATGCCCTGCCATTTCCTTTTTGTGTTGCCAATTTTAAAATGTCCTGCAATGCAATTCCCCTCCCCCATGATTTTTAAACAGCTGCAATTGCATAGTGAAAATGAGATCAACATTTCGTTTGGGGTGCTTGTTTTAGCTTGCAATGTAGAAGCTTTCAACAAGTATTTTCAGTTCTGCTAGTAGTATGCCCCTGTGAAACAGTGCCACTAACAGATAAGGGAAAAACAAGGATCAAGTCATGGAATATCAAAGAGTAATGGAATCCCCCCCCCCCGGTTTCGATATCTCTATGCTACGTCTCCAAGGAATGGGCCTGAGGCAGTTTAAAATACAAAATATAATAAAAACATAAAACATCATAAACATCATTAAAACTTATTTGTAAGTTTCAATTCACAAATCATGGATAATTCTTTTTTTAAAAGACTGATAAAAGCTTTCTTAATAATGCCTGGGTGAAACTGTGTGAAATTGATTAGTGTGTTGCATGAATAGTTGTTGAAGAGCAACTGAGAGTGGGGATCACAGGAGAGAAGGGAGGCAAACAGGCAGGTTTCCTTGCTTGACTTTCAGATGACAGATCCCAAAGGAGTTCACGCTGCTAAGGGGATGGGCACTGCAGGATTGTAAGGTAAGGTAAAGTTTCCCTTGCTCGAAAGCCAGTCGAATCATCTCCGTTTCAAAGCCGAAGAGCCAGCGCTGTCCGAAGACGTTTCCGTGGTCATGTGGCCGGCATGACTAAACACAAAGGCGCACGGAACGCTGTTACCTTCCCACTGAAGTGGTCCCTATTTATCTACTTGCAATTTCTTGCTTTCGAACTGCTAGGTTGGCAGGAGCTGGAACTAGAAACGGGAGCTCACTCTGTCATGCAGCACCCGGGTCTTGAACTGCTGAACTACCAACCTTCCACAGCCTGCAGTTCAGCGTCTTAACCACTTGAGCCACCGCAGCTCCAAGGGGAGCATAAAGCCTAAGTTAGTACCATGTGGAACCATAGTTAGAATTCCACTTGCAGCTGACGGGCATAAGAGCAACACAGCAGCAGCAGCACTAAAAGATCCTAGTTTGGAATGAATCACTCATGAGGAAGACACCAGAACCATGCAAATAAGTGTTTCAAATTCAGTGATTATTAATCCATAGTTCTACAACCAGAAGACTAATGTCTGCCACTGAAATTGTGACACCAGTCTTATTTCGAAACCTTTAGCATAAATGTCAAAAAAGATTTTCAGTTTTTTTCTCCGTGTAGCTAGAAAACTTCATTTTTTAAAAATGACAAAAAATGAGATTTTGAGGACTCTGTGACAGCTACGTAATTGCAAATTATGTGTCAGATTCTACATTTCACAATGATGACAAGCAGGCAGATTCCCAGACTTCTTTGCTCACAAGTCATGTCTAGAGCCAGGATCATGTGGCTGGCTTCTACTCAGTGTGCTGGGAGATAAATCTGTTTGCCCCCACCCCACCCCAGTGTGAGATGAGAGTCCCAAATTCTGTCCCTATAGACAATGGACATATGATGATGGATGAAGATGGTTAAACCTTGTTGCTTGTGTTCGTTGTTTATTTCTGATTAATATAATAGTAAAAAGGGAGAGGCCCCGAATTCTGTTCTGATTCCATTCTGATCTTATGCCAATTAGTGAGTGGGAGGGGGGATTCCCATTGTCTTGTACTGACCACTCAGCTGCTTCCCTAACGCTCTGCCATGATGTCTCTTCCAGCCTGCCAATGTGACCCGCAAGGCTCCACCAGCAGTGTCTGCCACAAACTTGGGGGGCAGTGTCAGTGTAAACCCAATGTGGTGGGTCGCCGTTGTGATCAGTGTGCCCCAGGCACCTACGGGTTTGGGCCATACGGCTGCAGTTGTAAGTAAACAAGGGAGGGCCTGTATGTAACTGTCCACTTCTGTGTTCATGTTTGTCTGTCTCAGCTGTGTTAGACATACAGTTAGCGCTCATAAACACTTGAGATGGAAAAACTGTGTCTGAATTGTATGCCTTCGGACAGCAGGTGGGGCCGCACAAGACTGAATATTCCTTCATACAAGAAATAACTCAGCAAAGAATATGAGATATTACGAAGCAGGATCCTAACTTAGACTTGTCTCTGATGTGCTAGTTTTCTATATACAGGGATTCTTTTAAAAAATGGGGTAGCATTCTATCATGTGAGCCCCCCCCCCATTGACCTATGGTTGCCAACTCTGGGTTGGAAGATACCTGGAGATTGGGGGGATGGAGACTGAGGAGGATGGGGTTTGGGGCAGGGAGGGACTTCAGTGGGGTGTAATGCCATGGACTCCTGTCAGGGGCTGGGGTGCAGGCAGAGAGAGAGAGAGAGTATAAGTCCAGTCCAAGGTCAAAGCTGAGGGGTAGCCAAGGTAGGAGCCGATAACAAGAGTGCAGGCAGAGAGAGAGAGAGACCAAGTCCAGTCCGAGGTCAGAGCTGAGAGGTAGCCGAAACAGGAGCCGATAACAAGAGTCCAAAACACAAATCAGGAGCGGAGCCGAGGTCGAGGAGCCAAGAGTTCAGGACACAGGTAGAGACCGAAAACACGAGCGGGGTGGTTGCAAAGTGTTGTCAGATCGACTAGTTGCTTCCACAAGGAATGAGCATTGAGTGGGGAGCTAAATACCCCTCAGCTTCTGCTGCTAATTAATGCTCATTAATTAGCAGCCCAGCATCTGCTAAAACTCAGGGCTGAGTGAGCGTCTGCCCCGAAGGCGTGCCTCCCGTCGCCTGGACATTACATCCTCCTGGCGGAGCCGGTTCCTCAAACGCAGCACCCGCAGAGGCGAGTCAGGGAGGCTGTCTGCTGCTGATTGTTCCTCATCTCAGCTGTTGCTGATGCGGGTGGCCTCGGCAAGCTCTCGGCCTCCGACACATCATCATCGGGGCCAGGTGTGGGTTCTGCTGAAGCCGGGAGCTCATCCTCGTCAGCACTCATGACAACTCCACTCTCCAAAATGGCCATTTTCTCCAGGTGAACTGATCTCTGTCACCTGGAGATCAGTTGTAATCCCAGGAGATCACCGGCTTCCACCTGGAGGTTGACAATCCTACTGCAGTCTGAAATGGTACAGTCTCTGGATGCAAGGTTATCTCTGTATCTCCACAGCTTGCGCCTGTTCCCCCGAGGGCTCTGTCTCCAAGATCTGTGACCCAGTCAGTGGGCAGTGCCGGTGCCAGCATGGGACTGTGGGGCGGCAGTGTGACCAGTGCCCACCAGGCCATTGGGGCTTCCCAAGCTGCCGCCCTTGCCACTGCAATGGCCACTCGGAGGAATGCGACTCACACACGGGCGCCTGCCACCAGTGCCGTGATTACACAGCCGGCCGTCACTGCGAGAGGTGGGTATGCGGGTTCCACGGCCATGTGGAGGGAGCCACAAATGGTTCGGCACGTTTCCTGTTTTTCACTGTGCTGCATGACTTTCCATGATGGGTCTTCCTGACTTCTCTTTTAGGTGGAAAGCATTCAGACTTAAGCAGAGGAGCGGCAAGAGGAAAGGGATGCTAAACCTTTTCTCTTATTGCTGCTGGTCTGCTTGCAATTGTGCCCCACCCTGAGCTGATTCTCTCCCCAGGGTGAAAAAGTATGGGGATCCTGTATGTTTTCCCTGCCGCTGGGCAAGTCGCTGGGTATGGGGGAGGGTTCTGTGCTTCCAAAGGGCATAAAAGGAAAGGGTGAAGAGCTCCTTCGTTCCCCTTGCCAGTTGTCTGCTTACCACCTACTGTGGATACTTTACAAACCAAGTTGAGAAAAGCAACCATGTCATTATGCATAACCTGCAGTTGCAAAATGTTGGCCTTCTGGTACGTGTCATCCAGCAAAAGAAGGGGTCTGGGGACTGCAAGCCTATTTTGCAAGGAAGCGGGGAATTGTTCCCCTGCCTGTGACTAGTGAGAGAGGAGGAAGGGTTAGACAGGGAATTACCGTGAGGCACTTACCAGTGAAACAGCAAAGGGCACCTAGATCCTAGCGAGACCTGCACTGTGGGCAAAACCATCTCTGAGTGACCAGAAAGAGGCTGCTCTCATGCTCCCTTTACTCTCCTTTTGCCCTCCTTGTAGGTGCTTGGATGGTTACTACGGAGACCCAGTCTTGGGCTCGGGGCAACAATGTCGGCCCTGCCCGTGTCCCGGGTATCCGGGCTCTCGGCATTACCACGGCATCTCCTGTCACACTGATAGGGGGACCAACCAGATAGTTTGCCTGTGTGCTCCAGGCTATACAGGTAAGTGTGCTGCAGGGTAAGGGGTAGTGGGATTCACAGGGTGTGGGGGTCTTAAAATAACCAGAGCTGGACAATTCTCCATCCTCTGGGCTTTCACCCCATGACCTGCCCCTTCCCATCTTCCAGTCACGTCTCGCCGGCCGTCTCAGACTCTTGCCATATGCTTCCTCTGGAGCTCAGCTGCACAGCCCAGGCAGCTCACCCAATGCAAAAGCCACACACCTGTTGGCCTTGACATGTCACATGGTGTTTGCAGTTCTGGGCAGGTGGCAGAAAAAGCAGAAGATTTATCACGTCCCTTGTAGTCTGCCATTGGATCGGGGCCCATTTCAGAAGGGTAGAGGAGATTTACACCTTTATCCCCTGCTTGGCTTTGCTAATTGACCTGGGGCTCCCCTGCCCCCCTGCCCCCCTGCACGGTTGCCAGCATTTTAAAACAAAGTAGTCAAGTCCTTTAAAAACTCAGCTGCGGTTTTAGTTATTGAACCAAGCAGAATTTGGATGTTTAAAGCCTTCTTCCTTCCCTTGTAGCCCTGCCTGCAACTCACAGAAGCACATGGGAATAGTTTTCTCTTTTACAGGGTGTCGAAGAGCCCTGATCTTTGTCATGTCCATTTTAGCCCTTAGTGGCACCAATTTGTGCAGGCTAGCAGAGGGTTGTCGGCTCTGGGTTTGGAAATACCTGGTGATTTTTTGGAGGGTGGGGCCTGGGGAGGGGAGAGCTGGAGCCGGGGAGGGACTTCATCAGGGCATGATGCCATAGGGTCCACCCTCTAGAGCAGCCGCTTTCTCCAGGAGAACTGAACTCTATTGTCTGGAGATGAGTAATAACAGTGGGAGACCTCCAGGCCCCGCCTGGAAGTTGGCAATCCAGGTTAACTTGCTGTATGGCCAGATCCATCATCCTTCCCCCTCTTCCCCCTCTACGCACCCACATACACCCCTGACCAATGTTACTCTAGTATTACTTTTTGTCTCAGTCTCCGCGGTCTGCGTGGCCCTGTTCTTCCCGGGCCCACATTTATCCAGCTATTCTTCACCAGAAACTGTTGAGTGATATCCTTTATATGCCACTCTACCCGGTTAAGCTGAAGCACTACGGTATAGCTGTTCCTGTGCCTTTTGATTAGAAATTCCAACAGAGAAGTGGTGTTATTCTGAAACAGCAAGAAAGCTTAATGTAAGGCAATTCCAGACAATCTGTTCATAGCACAACAAATACTTATTTGTGTCTCCCTTGTTGCGGAGGATCCAGGCAGTGCCTCTCCTTTGGGGATATGACATGTCTCTGGCAAAATAAAATATATTGTTGCTGGAATAATGCAATTCTTTCTAAGGCTAAAAGGGACTACGCAAGGAGGGGCAGTGGCTCAGTGGTGTAGCGCACACAGAAAACTCCCATGTTCTGTTCCTCGCATCTCTGGTTAAATATCTCAAGCAGGAGGTGCTGAGAAAGACTTTTCTCCACCTGAGAACTTGGAGTACTGCTGTAAGGCAGAGAAGATAATACTGACCTAGAGGGACTAGTGATGTGATCAGGGGTCGTTTCGTAGAAAAAGAGCTAGGGAAACTCATTAGCATAACTCATTAGCATATGCCACACCCCCTGATATCACCGGAAGTGTGTCATAAGGCCACACCCCCTGACATCACCGGAAGTGTGTCATAAGGCCACACACCCTGACATCACCGGAAGTGTGTCATAAGGCCACACCCCCCTCCCCCAACGGTCCCAGCTGCCAGTGCCGGCCTTGCAGCTCCACTGCCGAGCCCCATGAGGGGCCCGGCGGTGGACCTGCAAGGCTGGCGGGAGTGCAAGGAAGCCCCGCGAAGGCCCTCCCTGGCCCCAGGCAGGCAGGGGTGGGGAGAGGCAGGGAGGAAGCCTCCTGCCTCCTCCTGGCTGAATGAGGGCCGGAAGCGGGGCGGCCGGAAGCAGGGGGCGGGGCTTTGTCATGTGCCCTGCTCCCCCATACCTCACCCGGGGGAACTGCGATCCCCCCCGAAATGACCTCTGGATGTCATTCGATGGCCCCGATCACATGAGAGGATTTGGGCCAGGAGAGGGACGGATCGGGGGCGGAGCAAACGGGCGCGATCCCACCGCAACATCTGGGAAGCGTTGTGCGCCCATCCCCGATCCGGCCCTTCCGACGATAATCCGCAGCAAAAAAGGTGGTTCTTTCCGAAAGGCCGCATCAAAGCCGGCCGTGGGATCGCTGGCGCGTTCTTCTGCCGGCGCATCCCCAGCTCCTGGCCGAACTGCGCATGCTCAGACATGCGCAGTTTGGCAGCCTCCCGTGGCTTTCTCCCCGGTCTCCCCGGCATCTGACCGTGCCGGGGAGCAATTGCACGGCGGCTCACTGGATCTGTATGATCCCGCCGCCGCGTGCCTATTTTGGTGCGGCTTTTAAAAGCCACACTTTGCCGGTCCTTTTTTCCCCTCGTGTGGCAGGAACCAAAATAAGGCAAATTCATATAGACTATTGGCGCAGGCTATCACAGGAGATGAAACTGACATGTGCTAAGGCAAAGTGTGCAGTCTCTCATACTCAGACTAGTTATTTTCAGTTCTCTCTTTGTAAGCTATGTGCTCACACTGCAACCTACACATCACTGACTTTAGTACAAACAGACAAAAGAGCAGCAGGACAACGTGGCTTAGTGGTAGAGCATCTGCTCAGCATGCAGCAGGTCCTGGGTTCGATACATCACGACTCGGACAACGACATAAGGAACACGCGTTACTCGGTACTTCACACTACAAAAGACAAACGGCCAAGTGGCCAACTATATACATATCCAAGGAAACTCCCCTGGATCCCATTGGGGGGGTTTGAATCTCCCGCCAAGGTTTCTATTGGTTCACCTATTGGACCTTAGGAGCCTAGCCTCTATTGTTCTTTAGGAATCAAGCTCTGCACTCCTGGCCACTGCCTAGTGGCGGTTCCCAGGACACAATACCTGGTATCTCCAGTTAAGAGGATCAGGTGATGGGAAAGATCTTTACCTAAGACCCTGCAGTGCTACCACCAGTCAAAAAATCCTGATCTTGCCAGACTACTGGTCTGACTCGGGGCAAGGCAGCTTTCATGTGTCTGATAAGTGTTGGGTAGGATAGTTGTGGGGGGGGGAGCACGAAGCAGCCGCTTCACCTCCTCTTGTGCCTATCACTGATAATCCCATGTCTCTGACAGGGCCCCGTTGTGACCGCTGCTCACCTGGATATTTTGGAGCGCCCGAGCAGGAGAATGGAGCCTGCCGTCCCTGTCAGTGCAACAACAACATTGACACCAGTGACCCTGAGTCTTGTGACCCACGCACTGGCCAGTGCCTGCGCTGCCTCTACCACACTGGGGGACCCCACTGTGCCGAATGCCAACCTGGTTACTACGGCAATGCTTTTCAACGTAACTGCCGACGTGAGTGGGGGCAGCTGGGCGTAGACAGAGGGAATTGTGCTGTCCTGGGCTGAGAAATTCCTGGTGATTTGGGGGTGGAGCCTGGGGAGGGCGGGGCTTAGGGACAGAGTGGGACCACAGCAGGATATAATGCGGTCTATCTTCCGAAGCAGCCATTTTCGCCAAGGAAATTGATCTCTGCTATCAGGTGATTGGTTATAATTCCAGAGGAGCTCCAGGCCCCACCCGGAGTTCGGCAATCCAAGCTAGACTATAGGTCAGCCCACGGCTCTGGGGACATGGCCCATTCATGCCAGCATCGTGAAACACAACCTGTCACTTACAGGTAGCTTCCGTTGCTGTGGAAAAGGGAAAGTCCCCCATTGCCATGCTAATAATGACGGATGCAATGAAGCACAGGATGTCCCTGTGAAAACAGCCCAGGGCTGGGTTGTTGTTTTTTTAAAGAGCTCCTAGAACTCTCAGAGGGAAATGAAGTTTTCAATCTGTATACTGAAAACTCATGAACTTTTAAACATTTTAAAAAGAATTTTGTTGAAGGGGTTCTGGAACTCTGTTCCAGTGCGTTCCCCCAGAAAAAAAGCCCCGGAACAGCCCATTACTATAAGGAGGTGCTTCCAAGTTCCAAAGGGCATCTGGTACTGTGAGCAGTAAGCAGCAAAGCGATGCTGAGGTTCTGTGACCAGAAATCTTCCTGTGTCATTTGTCCCTAAAAAGTCGACCAGGGAGGGCTAATCTGGATCAGGACCATGAGCCTGGGAAACAGGGTTAATTCTTCCCTCTGTATTGTTTCCCTGATCTAAAGTGGCATCCAGGCCTGCTTCAAGCCCCTGGAGGGGGGGGAAGGCAGCTGTGTTGGTCCCAGGGAAAGAGGTGATTTCTCCGTTTATTTAAATATTCATGTCCCCCTTTTCTCCCCGATGCAGACCCAAATTGGCTTGTAACATCAGTCTCCTCTCCTCGATCTTATTGTCGCAACAACAACCTCATAGGGTAGGTTAGGCTTAAGAGAGTGTGGGTGATTCTGCATTGGTTTTTCCTTCTGTTGTTTTAACAAACCCACGTTGGAACAGAAATTCCCCTCTGCATTGCATGCCGCTTTCACTTTCGTTGATCATCATGTTTTATGGTACTTTCTGCATAGATTTGTGGCTGTTCAGGGGTGACTTCGCCAGTCAGTACAGCGTTGCCCTGAGGTATCTGAATGTGGTTTTGAGCTGTACCTTCAGTAAAACAACAGAGGGAAAAGCCAGTGCAGAATTGCCCTGTGACTGCCCCAAGGTCATTCAGAGTGAGCCAGTTAACCAGCCCTTCTCCCTTCTCCAGCACTGCCTGCCCTGCCTCCATGGCCACTTTGTAAGGTTGAGATTACCCTCTTGCATATCCAGACACAGAACTCCAGCATCATTTGTAATCAGGTCTTCATTTTGCAAAAGTGAGCTAGAAATTTTGCTATGGCCTAAACTGACCTGGAAGTCCTATTCTGTGTCCTAGGCAGTGGGCCCCAAACATCCAAAATGGGGAAGTAATTGTGGTTGTAAGCAAAGTCCATAGTGATTCATTTATTTAACTTCTTTATGTTCTGTGCTGCAGGGAATGAACTCTGTGCATTAGCAGACACACCCTCTTTATTCCTATTTATTTATTTATATTTAATTATGCTTCCGATTTCTAGTCCACCCTTCCCTACATAGCATGGCTCAGGGCGGGTTACTTCACCAGTTGCTAGGCTCTGCTATGGAAAATGGGTTGTTAAAAAATATTTTCTTTATTTGGTTCCAGTTTAAATGGGATGTACTGAAACCAAGCGAAAATCACTTCACTTTAAAAATTAGCAAGGGTTATGGCATTGCAGCATAATTGCATGACAGCACATCATAAAGTACACGATCCCATCTTCCAAAGAGAAGCCCAAGAGAAAGCAGGAATTTTGAACTGACACCAAAGAAATCTCTATGCTCCTTTTAAGGAGTGGGGGAAAGTAGGCGTGGGAATTGTGACAACCACATTTGGAGACGGGAAAGGGGGAGAGAAGAGTTATTTGGGGTTGATTTTAGCAGATAGCTCTTTTGGGTTGGTTTATTCAGTCAAACCAATGTAAAGGAAGGGAGATGGTTGTGAAAGAGGTATGTTATGTATCCTGATGGCCAGTTACATCTCTACAGCCACTGATGTCTGGCTAACCATTTATGGGAATTCCAAGTATTTTTAAAAATAATTTACCCTTGAGACAAAACAAGTGAGGGCTGGATAGTGAGGTGCAGCAATGTTAGTTTGATGGAATATCCTGAAAATCTCTTAGTGGGGAGAAGGAGTTATCTTTAGGACCACAGATAGGAAACCTCAACAAAAGTTTGTTCAGGAGTCCCACTTGGCCCTTCCATCTGTATGTTTAGCTGACGTAGGCTGCAGTCCTAAGAACACTTTCCTGGAAGAAAACATCACTAAATAAAAAGGGACCTACTTCTGAGTAGGCCTGCTTGGGATTTTCTCCCCAGAAGGCCCTTTGCAGGCTTCCCATCATTTAAGTCGTCCGTATTCTGCAGAATCAGGAGCCTCAGAGGATTCCTACAGAAGAGTACAGCAGGGCTGGTTCTTATTTGAGGGGAGGGGCCTTGGGGTATCCCCCAGTTGAACAAGAAATGCTGTCAGAGAGGCAAGGAGGCTGCCTTTGG